ACATGTGCACTTTAATGAGAATATATATATATATATGAATCATTGCGCAGGAGTGGAACCCTCTGCTGCAGATAGAGGCGGGGGGATATTATTCCCTGAATTCAGCGGAACCTCTCTTCGCGCCCTTTTCAAAGATTCCAGCGTGACACCATTTTTTAGTTTTACCAGGCCCACCATAGGAGGGTCACCCTTCTTGACGAATTCATATTGTCCTGTACGAATATTTGGTCAGCTACACTGCCATGTGGCTCCCCAGGCTGTTACTCCCTGGAAAAATATTTTAGCTCAAGACGTACCTGGCATCTTGGCCGCCGCCAACCTCAACGCTTCTCGCGCAACCTCCTCATGGAAATCCCCCTTCAATTCGAAAATAATCCGATTAACTGCAATTCTCGCAGCCCAATAATCAAATTTACCCTTTCCCTTCCCCATACGCTGCTCGTTACCACTCGTATAAACACCGATGTCGGCGGCCACCCTCGGATAAAATTTGTACCTCATGCCTCTGAGCCGTTTCTGAATCGTTTCGAAGCCTGTCTTCAATTGATCCGCTGATACTCGTCGATCATGGTCTTTCATCCGCAAGCCATAATCGCCCCAGATGACTGTTGTTCCTCGGGAGGAACCCCCTGTTGGCATTCGGGGTCGGCCTTTTTGCGATTTTCTCTTCTCTCCGTATTTTGGCACTAGCCAGTCGAAGGATGGGGAGGTCGTAGAGAAACATCGTGTGGAAACGGGTAATGTGGAGCCTGTTATACAGGAGAAGCGTGAGTTTTTTGCGCAAGGAATTCTCTTCGGAACAGAGGTCTATCGGGTAATTATACATACAGGAGGGGCGCAAAAGCGCCAATTGAAGTCCTTGAAAGATGTTTAATCGGGGACCCATGTCGCCGTGCAAATCAGCTGTTGTCCCTCTAGAAGGTAAAACCGTCATTCATTGTCATTTAAAGGTTTGGAAATTGTCTTGAAGTTTCATCGTTTCTGCAACTGGGATTACATAAACCGCACTTTCCCATTTGCGGTTCACATGTTTTTGCGCGTGACTTGCCCGCAAGGCGTGTCTTGAGGTCGAACCGAAGCCTCTCTCAACGTCTTTTCAACATCTTTGCTTCTTGGAGGGCCGTAGTTTGGTATAAGCCCTTCTGTGGTACTTTTCGTCTGCCGGAGACAATTGTTTGGTTTTCATTTTACAGTTATACGGTCAAAGGAGCTAGATACGCAATGCCTGTCGACATTCGAAACTTTTTTGGCGGAAGCCAGCCGACGAGTTCCAATAAACCAAAACCACCGGCCAAAAAACCTGAGGTATGTTTTTTATGATGACTGCTGTGCTACGTTTGTGAGGCAAATTATTTCCGATGAACGAAATAGTTTTACGTGATTGTTAACCAGAACCCACTCTATTTAGGATGCATCGTCCTCGCGGAAACGAAGTAAGAATCCCTTTCGGATAATTGAATCGGAAATATCGACATACCTTTGACCCATTTGGCGATCTATAGGAAGCAGAAAAGTAGTAGAAGATAGTGATGAAGATGATGATTTTGAGCAAAAGCCTCCCTCAACAAAAGCTCAACCAAGAAAACCACAGTACGTTCCGGGAACCCTAGATAATGCTATGTACATTCTGAAATCGTAATTAGGAAACTTGAAGAACCGAAAGGCGAACCTACAACAAGTTCCGCTTATTTTGCGTCCTCCAAGAAGAATAAAGTTGGTGAAACTCAAGACTCCAAGGCAGGTGTGACTCTGAAGGAGAAACCAAATTCTAAACCAAAAGCGACACGGGATGAGCAAGCAGATATTCCGGTTTGCAGTCAACCCTCACCTGGTAAGACGCAACCAAAACGAGAGTCCATTAAAACTACTCGCGTCGTCAAAGTCGAAGAGGATCTTTTGGGTGATGATATTTTTGCGACTGGTTATCGAAAGACGGGAAGGGGTGGAGATGACGACTACCTGGAGGAGGATGACAGTGACGATTTCGATGACATGGAAGTGGAACCTCCAAAGGCTGCAATTCCCCAACCGAAGGCAACAAAAACCAACCTGAAAAGTAAACCTGATAATAGATTGAAGAATACAGATACCAAGGACACGAAAGCCCGTTCAGATGGACGAAAACGGAAGTCAGAGGCATTATTAGGCGGAGAGGATGAAAGTGATGACTATGTTGATTCTAAAAAGAGGACCTCTCGTGTCCAACCCCAGAAAAGCCCTTCCAAACCTGCCGCAAAGAAACCAAAGGCAGCAAAAATGGACCGCGTAGAAGGCAAAGGAGTCCAAGATATTTTTGATAGTATTCCGACAGTCCGCCCTCCATCTCCGCCTGCGAAATCTGGTACTACGAAATTCAATTTCGCCAAGCGTTCTAGAGATCCCGCGGACTCTGGCACAACGGAACTGCCCGTGGGTGCTGAAAATTGCCTCGTTGGCCTGTCATTTGTCTTCACCGGTGTTCTTAGTTCATTAGGACGAGAAGAAGGCCAATCACTAGTGAAACGGTATGGTGGGAAGGTTACTACAGGACCCAGCTCCAAAACTAGTTATGTCGTCTTGGGTGATGATGCAGGGCCCAAAAAACTAGAAACCATTAAAAAGTTTGGACTGAAAACCATAAACGAGGAAGGCTTATTCGAATTGATCAGGAGACTTCCCGCGAATGGAGGAGATGGAAAGGCTGCCGAACAGTATGCCGCGAGGCAAAAGCAGGAAGAGCAAAGAATCAAGGAACTGGCAGCAGAAATAGACCGAGAAGAAAAGAAACACTCTGCAGCTTCTATGACGCCAAAGAAAATGACAGTGAGCGGCGGAAATAAGCCAGAGCCTGCCGCAATTGATGATCGTCTTTGGACATCAAAGTACGCGCCAACGTCCCTTAACATGATCTGCGGAAATAAAACTGCTGTGGAGAAGCTTCAATCTTGGCTTCGAAATTGGAGGAACAGTGCCAAGGCAGATTTCAAAAAGGGAGGGAAAGATGGCACTGGTATTTATCGCGCAGTTATGATACATGGCCCTCCCGGTATTGGGAAAACTACAGCTGCACATCTTGTTGCCAAACTTGAGAATTATGATGTTGTCGAAACCAACGCAAGTGATACCAGAAGCAAAGGCCTTCTAGAAACAGGCCTCCGGGGGGTGCTAGATACAACTTCTCTTCAGGGATACTTCTCTGGTGAAGGAAAGAAAGTTGATAGTGGCAAAAAGAACTTGGTTCTTATTATGGATGAAGTCGATGGGATGTCGGCCGGAGATCGCGGCGGTGTTGGAGCGCTTGCATCCGTGGCTAAGAAGACGCGAATCCCGATGATTTTAATCTGCAACGAACGAAGGCTTCCTAAAATGAGGCCGTTTGATTCCGTCACATTCGACCTACCATTCAGACGGCCGACTGTAGACCAGATTCGTGCACGGCTTTCTACGATCTGTTATCGTGAAGGACTAAGGATCCCACCACAAGTTCTCGATAGTCTAATCCAAGGCACGCATGCCGATATCAGACAAGTAATTAATATGTTGTCTACTGCTAAACTTGACCAAGGAACCCTTGACTACGACCAAGGAAAGCAGATGTCCAAGGCTTGGGAAAAGCATGTTATTCTAAAACCCTGGGACATTGTTGGCAAAATTCTGAGCGCCCAAATGTTCGCCCAAAGCTCTCAGACGTCACTGAACGAGAAGATCGAACTCTACTTTAATGATCACGAGTTCAGCTACTTAATGGTGCAGGAGAACTACCTCAACACGAGACCATCAATTGCGAACGCGTACCAGGGCAGAGAACAAAGGTTCAAGTTGTTGGAGCTAACCGACAATGCAGCTCAGAGTATCAGCGATGGTGATCTGGTGGATCGACTGATACATGGAACTCAGCAGCAGTGGAGCTTGATGCCAACTCATGCAGTATTCAGTTTCGTTAGGCCTGCCAGTTTCATGGCTGGGAACATGACAGACCGCCCAGGATTTACAAGTTGGCTTGGAAATAATAGCAAACAAGGTATGCTTGATCAGCCAACCTCCTCATACTTCTTTTCAACTGCTGAACTGTATTCTAGGTAAAATGGCACGACAGATAAAAGAAATACAAGGTCACATGCGACTACGAGCTTCTGGGGACCGACACGAGATCCGACAACAATACATGCCAGCCCTGTGGAACAAACTGGTGCGACCGTTACAAATTGAGGGGAAAGATTCGGTTGAGGAAGTCATAGATTTGATGGACAGTTACTTCCTCACGCGCGAAGACTGGGATTCCATTGTCGAACTTGGCCTCGGCACGATGGATCAGAAGAACCTAAGCATCGACTCTCAAACAAAAGCCACTTTCACACGCCTATATAATCAGCAATCTCATCCCCTGTCGTTCATTAAGGGCACCAGTGTCGTTGCACCGAAGCATGTCGCCAAGGAGAAACCTGACCTTGAGGATGCGATTGATGAGTCGGATGAAGGCGAGGAGATCTTGGGTGAAGAGGAAACTAAAGACGATGGGAGTGATCTCGACCTTAAAAAGGATAAATATGTGAAAATGCCGAAGAAAACTGGGGCAAGAAAGAGCAAAATTGTTACGACGAAGCCAAATGCGAAAAAGCCCAAGAAGAAGGTTGTCGTTGACGATGATGCCGAGGAAGATAGCGATGAGGACGTCAAGCCAAAGAAAGGGGCACGAAAAAGTCGCAAGCCCAAAGGAATGGCATAATTTATTGGCTACGATTATCTTTGGGTTTTGGATGAGATGTGTGTAAGGTCTGGGATATCCTTTGTTCATACGGCATATATCTCCTCGTTGAATTTATTTATTGGTTGTCACGCTGTCCCTCCCTATAATCATTTATTTCAGAAAATCATGAGTTCGAATCATATTGCATTATATTTATTCCTCACATGTCAACAAACAGCAATAATAGAGGCCAGACTACCTAACCCCACACAAGTAAAACTGCAAAAGATGGAAAGCAAAAGTAAGTAATTCTCCAAAGAGTTTCACTTTATGCTTATTTACCCCCAATGTTCTTCGCCGCCGCAACCTCTCTGCTCTCTTCCTTCTTACGCTGCGAAACCTGACCAGCACTATCCATAAGCTCCTCCTCCTCCTCCTCGGGACCTGGAAACCGGATCTGACCTTGTCCCCACGGCTTTACAGCAATACAATTTTGCAATCCGCGATCCCGTTGAGCCTTTTATGCCTGGCTCCTTCCAAACTTTGGCTTGCTTGTCAGAGATATCCATGTTGAACTGAGTCCCTTCGCAGGAGATATTGGCAACGTTGTTAAGTTGCGGATATAGGAAGTTCTGTCAAGGGCAAGCTTATAAAACCGAGACTGATATTTACAGAGGGAAAAGTGGAGTATGGCAGCTGATCTGAAATCGAGAGATATTCGAAGAATGCTTTGCTTATTTGGTCTGTGGTAAATGGCCTAGTTTGATCTATTTAGTCCAGTACGGAACAAGTTGCAGGGAACAAACTGTGAATATACCTCTTAACAAAATGGTGTTTTAGCGCTAAATATTGGAAATTGCGACGATAAGATGGGAAGTATTTTAGAGGGAAAAAGGGAGCCCACTTATATCTCAGGCAGATGATTCAAATAGTTGCCAGAGAACCTTGCCCTGGACATTGACAGTAGGAAACAAAGGCATCGAACTGATGTGAAAGACCAATTGTTTTCAGACTACATTGATCCGTAACTCAAAGAAAATGCATCTCTGGAATTAAATCGAAGCAGACATTACTTCTTCTCTTGCCTTGCAAGATTCTTTAAGTTCCCCGTTGTGGACGAAGGCAACACATGCTTCTAGCTAATGTGAAAAGTCACTTATGTTGAGGCATTGTCGATTCCTTGGTAGAATTGCAGAGGTTCGGACCGGCATTTGGGGAGTCGACTTCCGCAGGGTGTTAGAACGTCCTAGAGCCCAGCTTAACGTTCGATATGTTATAACAAATTTTCATCATATGACTCTTCAGTCAACTTTGTTCTTTCTCACAAAAACATTTCTGCAGTTAGAACACGACAATGGATAGAATTGGTAGAATGGGACCAGGCTAATAATCCAATCGTAATCACAAGGGGATCTCATGCACAGGACTTCGTAACATAGTTACAGGAATCAATACATACATCAACGCTGACGACAGTAAGAAACACAATACCCTAGCCAATCCATCTTATACCATATCTCTCCACGGAACATGAACACCCAAAGCATCAGCAACCCGCATCGCAGACACCACACACCCTTCAAGCAAAACCATCCCATCCCAACACCAACCGCCTACGAGCCAAACATTCCCATATCCATTCCGCCACTGGGTAGTACATTTCTCTGATGCCCTGCAAGTAACGGGGTTGTATCCAAAGATGCGATTTACAACCTCTCTGCTCTGTGGCGTCCTTAGCACCCGCGTGAAGCTCGTGCGATGGATAACCTTCGACGTATCGATAGGAGTTATAGGTCCAGTGGTTACGAGAAGGGACGCAGTGCATTCGTGGATTGCCTCTGTGAACCCAGCCAGCGAGGAGCGGACATGAATGACTTGTGTCTCGGCTGACGACGGGTGAAAATACCCCTCGCTCCCAACGGAAGTCTGTGATAAAATACGGAGAGAAGAAGTGTCATTGTGCACAACACTCTCGACCTTGATGGTAGGCACCTGTGCCACAGCTGACCTGAGAGGTTGAAATATAGCACCCACAACGTCCGGAGTGACCGCCATGATAACATGGTTAAAATCCCGTTGATGGATAGTCCCGTCCGTGTTGGACATATAAGAAACACGTACTTTGGAAGAGCCAGACAGCAATTCCACTGAAACTACCCGTGAATTTAGCTGGATGTTCAACCCCCTCAGCCAGTTTCTTTTGCACGACATTCACGCCCCCCTTCACGACGTAGTACGGGACATTGTATGTCTGCGTCGCATAGTCTGTAAGGTCTTTGGCGGGGAATTTCAGCAGCGCTTCATGAGAGCAGGTTGTCACAGCTGAGAACTGGGGTAGTATGTAGTTTTGCGTGAAGTAGGTTGGTAGCCGGATTCTCTGGAGGTATTCACCTAGCGATTCGGAGACGGATAAGATATCCTGCTTTATTCCAGCGCAAGTTGCAGAGTGGTATTCGGTTCTTGATGAGTACGGAGGTATAAAAAAGCTGCATATCGTATACCATGCAAAGCAAAAAACGAGATATATAGACTCTGCCACCCAATGCCATAATCCCAGGTGCTCGGGTCGGATGGGTGGAATGCGATGATTGTTGGATGAATGAATGAAATACGGTTTCGAGCTGAGAAAATTTCCGTCTCTTTCGTCGTTGTGGACATGATCATCTGCATCTCCTTGATTGGGAGGTGAAAGCAGATTGCTCTTGTCCCTGACTATAGGAGCTCTCGATAAAGGGAATAGAAACTGCATGGGAGTATATTTCACGCCTAGGTAGTTGTACATTCTCGTGAGATTGCTGTAGTATCCACCCGCAAAAGCACGCATTGGGAGATCAATTCGTATTTCTCTACCATTTGCCGAAGGGACTGTAACCGACGCAGAATCGAGGGACAGTTCATTTTGCTGATGTAGCTGTTAATAAGATGTTTTCCTTAAAAGTTGGGATCCAAATTTCAAGAGTTTGCCAGCCACATAAAAATGTCACTAAAGTATCCAATAAGCAAGGTACACACATAGCTGTGGTGTCTCCGCATTTTCCGATGCAGCCAAAAAAAAAAAAAAAAAAAAAAAAAAAAAAAAAAAAGAAGAAGACAGCAATCTTCCAAGACTCAACATCAAAAGAGATGGAGATTTTTCTTGAAAGGGGTATTTTTGCAATGGCACGAAACAAAGCCGTAGAATAAGAAAATGCCCCAATAACTATACGTAATAAACACAAGATTATAACCAGCTAAGATATCGGGGAAGACACGATATAAAATCAAATATTTTTCCAGACACGGTCCGAATTCGAAATAAAACCCATTAAACGTACCATCTCAAAAACTTGGACATCAAAATTCTGACTCTGATCTTGCTTCAGCAGATATGCTGATACAAGACCCGCCATTCCGGAGCCGACAATGGCGACCGTGGTCCTGGAGCTACCCTCCGACTGCCCCATCGTCCGTTGTGCGGATAAATAGCAATAGAAAGAAACGAGACGCCCAGGGCCGCAAAACGAAGAGATGGATACGGAATGATCAATAAGAATATATGCAAGACAAAAGCAGAGAAAAAGAGACAATAGGATTCGGCAAGATTGGAGTAAATGGGCTCAAGGAATGAAAATCCATTATGGGGGCCCCGCTAGACCGTCCTGAAATGCAGAGTGAGCAATGGACGGTTCTATTCTAGATAATTGTTAAGAAAAAGAAAAAGAGGAAAAAGGAAAAGGAAAAAGGAAATGGAGAAGAACCTGTCCAGATCAGCAACAAAATCAACCACTTACGATCTCCATGCACCTCTCTCTGGGAGTTCCCAATTTTAGGGCCTTGTTTTTTCGTTTACCACTTTTTCTTCATTTCCCCAGGGCTCCTTTCGGCCGCCCCACAAGGCCCCCCGCCCCCGAGGAGGGGGGTTTTTAAAGGTGTAAGAGTCCAGTAATCAAACCGTCCAAAGGTGCTTCGCACATTAATCACATCCACCCTGAACACCCTTTTGTCTTGGCCAATCGGAGCCTGTTCTTTTTACATTGTTCGTGTCTGGAAGCCAATGCCGGTGCCTGAGTTGGTTCAACTTTATCGACCCTGAACTTCTGGTTCGGTTGATAATTTTAGATTCGGGTCAATCCCAACTTACCATATGACCGACCGGTCGTATGCCGAGAACTTGCTGTGTTCGCACTGCTCGAGTTGGCCTGTTTCCGCCGAGAAAACTGTGGCTGAGCGGTTTCCCACCACCGCATCCGAGACGCAAACCACGAGGCGCATGAAGGAAGGATAAGGGTGAGAGAGAATGGGGGTGTTTACTTCCATGTACGATCCCATATCTGTCTGGTGTATTTATATTGCCGCGGTTCATCCATCGTCTGCACAAATCGATGCCACCCATATCAATTTCTCTTGGGATAATGCGCACAAGTAATTATATGAAACAAGTTTCTCGGGTTGAGGTGGACATGATTGAGGCTGAAACTAAGTTGACGCCGCATCGTGCTTCAACTATTCAATCCCTTTCGCATATCAACCAAAACAAAGTGTTCGAAACCTGCGCCTTGTGGGGTTAGAAATGACGCCTGGCTGAAAATGGCCTCTTTGCATCAGACATGGTGTACTCAGGGGAGTCTGCATTGCGAAAACGAAAACCTACGCAGATTTAACTTCTCACGCTATATTTGAATGAATAGCAGCAAGTCTACTCTTCTGCACATACTTCAATCATGATTATAGTACTGTCCAGAGGCTCATTCCAATGTTATTTTAACTATATCCTTACAATTGGGAAGTCCACTGCTGCTGCCATATAGCTAGGCATTATTACCCTTCGGTGGTAAATCATGGCTCTATAAAGAGCTGCTATGCATACGTCAAGATTATTGTGGGATTGAGCATAGCTGCATACTCCGACTTGCCTGGTGTCATCATCAATCCCCAAATTAAACGCCATAGGAGTATTAATCCTATGAAAGAAACCGAGCGTGGGGAAAGATAGTGGCGTTGGAATGTTGCAAAGAATCTCTACGCCTTCTCCATTGCGCTCTTCGGTATGGATTGTGGTCCGTGAAATCCGGATTTCAGCAAAGAAGCAATGCCACCAACACCCGTGAGTAAAAAGAATTTGCCCCAGATCCCTTACTTGAAGGACACGCATGCAAGACTTCTTTGGAATGTCAATATCAATGCTTGAAAGTATAGCACCTCTTCATCCCAGGTTTTGGTGTCGGCCAGAAGACGTGAGGGCCCGTTGGACAGAAGCAACCCAGTCACGCAATCCACTTAGGACTAAATCCGTATGAAGAGAGACACAGAAAGAGAACAACGGCCCATACATCGTTGAGTTGGGCATCCCCGGGTCAGATATTCCAAAGCTACAGTGAGTCAAGCATCTATCTCGGAGTCACTTTCTTTCCCTTCTATTGACGACAAGATCAGCATAATTAATCAAAATAAAAACGGTATATTCAATTTGCTTTTACTACTCTAATCGAGAAGTAAAAGATAGGAAATGTAAATATTCCCCGGATGATGTTTGTGTGGATCTCGGAATCTGTCTGCTCTACCAGCTATGTCAGCATTTCAATCAAACGGACACCAATTAAGGAGTCACTTGTAGCATGCTAAACCAACCATCATTTTGGACCGTCCGACCCGGCCGAAAGAATGAGAATGTGAATGCGAACAAAATTGATGATAACTAGTTAGTTATAACTGCTCTCCAGGAGATCCGAATAGCCTGCTTATATAAGCCACCCTCTTCCCGCGCTAAAATCTCCGACTTCCGACATTTTCGACGTTGCAAAAAGTCAAGAGAAATTGTTCAATTCTCCCCGCCAGCCCAAGTCATTCTCTTATGAAGGACAGAAGCCACTCAATGCATCTCTCTCTGCATTGAATAGCCCTTTAGATCTGTTTTCCTTTTGTCTTTGTATGTTTCTTGTTCTCACAATGTTTAGATCGGCCTCGCGATCTGTACTTCGAGCTTCCTCCTCAGCTCCCACTCCCCGACACATTCGCCTTGCCCAAGCAAGACGATATATAAGCAGTGACTCTCCGGCCCCGTCGCGCAAGCCCAGGAGCTGGAAAGGCACAGTGTTGAGATGGGCTCTTGCTGCAGGCGCGGTATATTATTATAACACAAGCTCTGTGTTCGCGGAGGAACCCAGCTGTAAGACCAAGTCACCCCTCTGCTGTTATATAAATACTATCTATCCATATAATATACCCATCAGCGCCTGAATTCCTATCTCAGTATCTAATTATATACATGAATCATGCCCCAGTCTCCTTGCGACACACCTCCTCCGCACCAAAGGAGAATGAAGATGACTCCTCCCTCCCAACCCTCGAGTCCATAACCGCCGCGAAGAAGGCCAAAGCCAGATCGAAAAAATCCACCGCACCGCCCGCAGACCGAAGCACTGCTACCCCTTCTTCCCCTTTCTCTTCCTCCTCCAGTTCTTCCTCCCCAGCAGAATATTCCGATCTCTCCGCCGCTGCAGATATAGAAGCCTCGCCCTCACAATCTACGCCCACGCTTTTAACGCCCGGGGAACTGGAGGAGGAAGCCAGCAGCGAAGGCGCCTTCAATCCCGAGACGGGAGAGATCAATTGGGACTGCCCATGTCTAGGCGGCATGGCGCATGGGCCGTGCGGAGAAGAGTTTAGAGCCGCGTTCAGCTGCTTCGTGTACTCGACGGAGGAACCGAAGGGGATGGATTGTATTGAGAAATTCGAGTAAGTTTTTCATTTTCATTTTCATTTTCATTTTTATTTTTTCATTTTACTTTTTAATTTTAATTTTAATTTTTTATTTTTTTGGCGGGTTGGCCCAAAGACTCGACTCTCCCATCCTCCCAAAACTTTGATATCTAACCAGTTCTTCCCTTTGCTGTTACAGGGGCATGCAAAACTGTTTCCGCCAGCATCCAGAGCTCTACCCCACCGAAACAGACGAGGAAGAGGTCGACGCCCAGCTAGCAGAGGAATCAGCTCCTTCTGGCTCGGAGCCGTCAAGGGAAGCATCAAAATCCACGCCACCACCGCCAGCAGCAAAAGAGGAAGCAAAGCCCGCCGCCACGACTACCACGACTACCACCACCACCCCTTCCGCACCCTCAGGAGAAAAGGCCAAAGTAGCTAAAAAGCCGACAACCCCAACCTCATCATAAAGTTTTTCATTTGGGGGGGAAGGGAAGGGAAGGGAAGGGAATGCTGAAAGGGCCATGGTGAAGAGATGGGATGGATGTTGGCTGAAGGGGAGAAAAAGGAAGGAGAGCAAGCAAGAGACTTACATGCAAGCCCCAACCTCTTTTTCCTTGCTACCGCTTGTCCAAAAGTACTTAATGCAGTTTCACAGGCGAGCTAGTTTCAGAACGATATCTACTTGGTGTAACCTTTTTTTTTTTTTTTTTTTTTTTTTTTTGTTGTTGTTGTTGTTTCTTTCTTTTCTTGATACTTGATTCTTCATTCTGCTAGATGTCTTTTTTTCCTCCCCCCCCCTTTTCCTCCGCCGCCCTCCTCCGTTTTCAATTTCCATTCTCTGATGCTTTTGGAAGACTGCAACATAAACATCAAAGCAACTCTGTGCACCAACGTGTCTAAAAAGCTTCTTCCCTTACATGTATTATATGTGTGTACCTGTACCTGTGCCTGTACCTGTATTATGTGCCCCAGCTCCTCTGTACAGGGCCTATCTACCTGTCATCAACACCGATAGAAGGAAAGATATAAAGGGAAAGAAAGAAGAAAAAGATATAGAGCATTTTACTTTCTCCTTTCATCTCCTCTTCAGGCATGCGTGTTATATATTCAAGAGTAAACTGAGCCAAATTTTTACATGTAGGAATTTTGCAAATGTGGTTTCATATTGTTGCTGGTTGGCTGGCTCAAGAGTGCGCGCGGACATAAAAAACATTAATATATTAGTCTAATCTTGCTTGCATGTAATACTTACACGGATGGCCAGAGATTATCATTGCTGACATACTGTCTCTGCCCATTCATCTCATTCACCTTCAATATCATCAAATCACAGATTTACCATTCCCATTGCGTATCTTACCTAGGTACACACCTCTCATCTCAGTATTCACATATCCAAAAAATAAAATAAAAAATTAAAAAAAATTAAAAAAAAAAAAAAAAAAGGAAATCCCGAATGAAACCCTACCAACCTAATCAAGAATGTCCAGAAGCAAAAAATAAAAATAAAAATAAAAAAAAAAAAAATTCAAAAGAATACTGAAGTAAAAACTAATAAAAAATGGTGGTTAAAATAAAATCCATAAACACCCCTTGTCGTAATTCAAAATAGAAAAGAAAAGAAGAAAAGAAAAGAAAAAGAAAAAGAAAAAGAAAAGAAAAGAAAAGGTGGGGGATTGGAAAAAAGGAGGAAAAACCAATAGGTAATTGAATCCAGACCATCCATCATCCATAACTACTCATAACATACCAGACAAGACCAACCCACTCCCCGCAAGAGAAGAAAAAATAACAAAAAAAAAGAAAGTAAGGGAAAGAGAAACATGAACAGCGGATATATGTGAAAGACAAAGGGATAAAATGAAACATTAAAAGGGAGCAAAAACCAAACAAAAATACCAGCATTCCCGTTGCCATAAAAAAAGTGGGGGGAGAGAAAGTAGCGAGACAAAAAGCCAACGATAATGACAGCAGAAGCTGCACAAGTAGAGAAACTCCAGCGCGATCAGTCGATCGGATAAAGGAAATGAAAAGGAGATAGAGAAAAAGGGACGATTCAAGTACAAGCAACAGGATGTAGTGTCCGTGAAAGGGAGAGACCAGGGGGGAGGGAAATATCAAAAAAAAAAAAAAAAAAAAAAAAAAAAAAAGCCAAAATAACAAGACGACAGTCGAGAGAGAGTAGCATCCTCTCAATATCCATTTTTCATCCTCGCCTTCACATATTCGCATTTCCTCTTCATCATACCCAACAAACCTCGCACTCCTCCCAACTCTTCCGCCAGTGCTACCACTTCATCCTCCTCACTTCTCACTTCCTCAGAATCGCCTCATACAGACTCCCCACCACCCCGATAGCCGAACCCGTCAACAGTCCCCACAGTCCCCCAGGCACAGACCGCGAAACCGTCAACACAGTCAACCGATTAAACATGTTCCAAAACGTGAAGTTATTCGCATAGACCAAATACGCCACCAGCGCCTTGGAGACGTTATACACCAATGGATCGCCGCAGCTCCTCCCGGAAGCAGCCTTGGCAGCAGCAGCGGTCGTCGTCGTCGTCGTCGTCGTCGTGCGTCGCGTGCCATACCCATGGCTAACACTGCTACTGCCAGCAGCAGCACCCTGCTGCGAAACCTTCAAGCTCAGATTAAAAAAATACGCAAACAGCGACGGCAGGAACAGACTCGTCGTCACCCAGAGGGACAAGGGGCCCCAAAACGACGCGTTGAGCAGGACGAAGACATCGGGGATCTTGAGGATATAGTCCTTGGAGCCCACGGCGCCCACCGCGGGGACGGTGGTGAGATAGCGCATGGGCACGATGTCGGCCAGCAGGCCGTACAGCTCGATGAGGATGGTGATGGTTTCGATGGCGCGGACATTGCTGAGGGCGGCGCGCACGGCGTGGGAGCGTTCCGTGAGCCCGGACGCGTCCCAGAGGTCCGACATGGATTGGCGGGCTTTGGTTGTCTGGCGGTCGATGGCATCTGTGATTATGGCTGGGGAGGGGGGCAGCGAGGAGAAGGGCATTGCGGAACGCGCGGGGGTGTGTGCTACGGGTGCTGGAGATGATTTGGAAGCGCTGGGACTGGAGTCGGAGTCATCCCTGTTGTGTTTTGGTTTGTTAGAGTGGCTCAGTATGTATGGGGGAGGAAACGCGTAGCAGAGGAGTAGTGTAGGAGTAGGAGCAGGAGGAGGAGGAGCAGCAGTAGTAGTAGCAG